ATTTAATTTATATTTAATAATATAATTTTTTATAAAGATAATAATCAAATATTCTGTTATAACTTAATGATTATCCTAATTATATTTTAAATTTTTATATTTAAAATGATATGTTTATCTTGTATTTGATTATTTTTATTTGCAGTTAGTTACACGAATTCGAATACGGAGCTTTAATAAGTTGTAATTACGCATAATCTACTTGTAATCTTGAATTTTAAGTAATATGCATCAATAAACAGTACTTTGTACATAAAAAATGGTTTTTAAGTGTTTTTTTTTTTGCCAAATATTTTATAATATAGTATAGATAAAATAAGACAGATAAGGTAAAAATCTTCAAATTTGGAAAAAAAATTACAAATCCATATTGAAGAGAGTGAAATAATATTTAATTTTTCTCACCAATAAGGAAAATTGAAATTAAATGTTTATGAGAGAGAAAATATTATTTTATTAAATTTATTGAATATTTTAATAATATAAATAATAGTAGAATTGTTAAAATAAAATAGTTGTTGGAGGAGTTGAATGTAATTTTTGTAGAGATACTAGAACATCTCCAACATATTCTCTAAAATTTCTTCAAAATAAAGAACTAAAAGTCAAAATCATAAAAAAAAATTACATTCATCTCCAACAGATTTTTTAAAATCTAATATTGATTATAATATTAAAATATTTCATTTATCTATTAACATATTATCTCTCTCTAAATATTATTTTCAAATTTTCTATTGATGGTCTCACTTGATAATTATTTCTAGGGTTATCTTGGAGATTGTTTTAGGGAAGTTGTTAGAACAAAATATTGACTTAAAATCTTCATTTTCTCCATTTTCCTCAATTTGAAGAAACTGTTGGAGATGCTCTTAACTTTTGATACTTTATTTTAGAAAAATCATAGCATAGTTGCGTAGATGCTATAACAACCTCATTTTTGTGGGCTCCATGTATTTTTCGATGTCAATAACTATCTCATATATAATATTAATAATTATAAAGTCAATAAAACATTTAAAAAAAAAAACTATGAAATTGTCGCTTCACGCAAACTTCATGAGTTCATGGTGAAAACCAAAGTTTTTGTACAAGAACTCAAAGGAGGTGAAGTTTTTATAAAAACTTTGTACAATGATGATTATTACAAGTCGCTTCACTTTTTGCTCATAAGATACTTGCATTGGAGATGTTCTTAAAGCATCTCAAACAAGTTCTCCAAAATTCTATTTAAAAATGGGGAATGAAACTACAGACTCTCCATTTTTGAGATTTCAATATGGAAACTAATTTCCTTAAATTTATTTCAATAACTATTATTGATGGAAACTAATTAATATATTATTTTTCTCTCATATAGAGTTTTCCACATTTTCTCTTCTTTTCTTTAATTTAACATACATTTTAAGGAAAAGTCCAAAAAACTTTGTCATTTTGAATGATTTAGTCCTCAAAGTATTTTTTTAATGAAAAAATAATTAATTTTCATTTTAAATAATTAAGTCCCTAAACTACTTTTTTGAATTAAAAACTTATTAAACTTTCACATTTTAAATGATTAACATCCTGAATTTTTTTAAAAATAAATAAATAAACCATCAATCGTTTACTAGTCGGTTAATGTAACTTTTTTGAGTTAAAAGAGTACACTTAACCAATTTTTGAAAGTGGATGGTTTATTTATTAAAAAAATATTTAAGAACTTGATCAATCAAAATGAAAAGATTTAATGATTTTTTTTCTTTTGAAAAAATGTTCAAAAATTTGATCATTCAAAATGAAAAAGTTTAATGTTATCCGAAATATAAAATTTTATTAGGTTTTCTTAAAACCTTTTCCTACGTTTTAGCATATATATATATATATATATATATATATATATTAAAGGAAAATATTTGTTAAATATCTAAACTCTCTTTTTCAGGTCCTTAAACATGCTAGGTTTTTTGCATCGGGTCCAAATGAGTTGTTCATTCTAAGATGCCGTTTACCTAAATACTTATCCGGTAAGTATTTATTGATAAAATTCAATAATATCACTTACTTACCAGGTAAGATTTTATTTACTAAAACGTATCGTATAAAATAATTTATTCCGTCTAAAACGTATCGTATAAAATAATTTATTCCGGTAAGCACTAACTATGGTAAGAGTCATCGTCTTCACTTACCGGGTAAGACTCTCGATTCTTGCCTTCGCTCTTATGAGGTAAAAATTTTAGTCCTTGCCATATTCATCCGGTAAAGTAAAATAACTTGATAAGCGCAAACCCGAGTAAGTATTTGGTAAACAACACCTAAATCTAAACTGGAGGACAGTTAAATACATTGCAACCCTAAGAAAAATGGCTCAAAATTCCGGGCCAAGAGTCAACTCCCTCGACCCCATTGGGTATTCGAAAGAAACTTTTCTGATAAGATGTGACAAGATGGAAATGAGACAGGTATCGGACACGTAATGCTTCCTCCGATTTTGATCCTGAGTCTGGTTTAAGCCACCCCCTAACCTCACCTAATTCCCGACGAGTTCTCAAGACGAGTTTGGGAAACCCGTCAGGTACAGTATAAAATAACATAGAACTTGTTATATTTTACAATAGAATCCTACTTCTAAAAATTGGTAGGTCACTGGGTTATTCAAACAAGTCGAAKAAGCCTTCAACTAAGAGAAGGAGAAGGAGAAGGAGAAGTGAGGGAAGAGATGGCAGGTCGGWCAARTGCATTCGCTATTCAATTCCATCCTCGATCCCACCAAATTGTATTGATAGAGTGACATTTGTCTTACCCCCGTGATCCCACGTCTCCTTTTAGGCACTTCTCTCTCTCTTTCTCGACTTGCAACTCACTTTTCACCGTCTACTCTCTATATTGGCCTCTGTATACCAGTTTTAGCCTCCGGGATCAATATAGTTTACCTTCTTGCCTAGATTAGAGCGTCATTTTCTTTCAAATATACGAAATAGATGGATGTTTGTTGTCCCAACCATTCTTGTTAATCCCGATCCCGATAAGGAAAGGGGGTAATAACAAGCTTTCAATATTATAATCAGAAATTTAGTGGGCTAAAAACGGATGTTTTCAGTATGCCGCAAGTGGCTTTAAGAAGGTGGCTACTGTTAGTTGGTCTTTTAGAAATCTAATTCAAAGTAGCACGATCTAATTCAAATCATAGGATTTCAAAGTAGCATAGTCTAATTCAACGGTTTTATATGATGCAACTATATCAAAAAATTCTTGGGTCCGTCGCTGTTAAACTAGTGAAGTATTTTCCGTGATCCTAACAAGCATGTACAGAAAGTTGTCATTTAATTACCAGAGGATCAGGAGAGTGTACCTCCAGATTAATATCCACCCAAATCAACTTATAGTAAACCTTCCACACCTGATGGTTGATACGATGCGAAAAATACGCATAAACCGCTTCATTAATAGCTTTCACGAACAAACGAGAACTAGACCGATTTGAATACACGCTATTGTTTGGTTTCAAAATAAAGAAGTTTCTTTGGATCTAACCATTTATAGAAGTT